GTCGTCGCTGTCGCCCGAGACGGCCTGGGAGCCCGTCGAGCCTCTCAGCATCGAGAATGGCCTGCCACGGCAGCCACTGGGCGATCTGCCTGGGCTCTCCACAATTCAGAACATCTCGACTCGCCAGCGATGGCTACACCTCGCCCACGCCATGACGTTGCGCAACACGACGCTAGAACGGGTCTCGAAGCGATGTATCGACCTCTTCTTCGACTACCTCTATCCTCTCACCCCCCTGGTGTACGAACCTGCCCTCCGGGAAGTCCTTGCATACATCTTCTCGCAGCCCTTGCCCGGCATCAACCAACCGTCTCCTCTGTCGCAGCTCACACCAGACCCGACCGCTGGCACCACCCCATTGAGTTCTGCCGAGTCGTGGGCGGGCTTTGGCCAGCCCGGCTCGAGGACCGTTGGCAGCAGGTTGGCTCCCTGGGTCGACTCGACCTTCACCCTTGTCACGGCCGTCTGCGCAGAGGCAGCATTCATGCTACCCAAAGACATTTTCCCCGAAGGAGAATCCGTCTCCGAAATCTTTCTCGAGGCCTCTCGTGATTGTCTTCACCAGCACCTCGAGGCCGACCTGGAGAATCCGACGGCCAACTCGATTGCCATCCGCTACTTCCACTCCAACTGCCTCCACGCCGCGGGGAAGCCGAAATACTCGTGGCACATCTTTGGTGAGGCCATCCGCCTGGCCCAGGTCATGCACCTTCACGAGGAGGCTTCTCTCGAGGGGCTCGTCCCCATCGAGGCAGAGTTCCGGCGCCGTTGTTTCTGGATCTTGTATCTGGGCGACAAGTCCGCCGCTATACTCAATAACCGCCCCATCACCATCCACAAGTACTGTTTCGACACGGGCATCACCACCCTTTACCCGTCTGGTATTGAGGATGAGTTTCTGAATACGGCCTCCGATCCGCCCAGAAAAAGCTTTATTTCCGGGTTCAACGCAAACGTGCGGCTGTGGCAGTCGGCCGCCGATCTGCTCCTGGAAATCCGAGTGCTTCAGGACCAGATGATGCAGCATTTTAGGGGGAGCATGCCCCCCAACCACGTTCTGCCATCTGCTGACCGGCAGCACCTCGACTCCCTCTATGTCAGGTTCATCACCTGCCTAGATGACCTCCCGCCGTATCTCCAGTCGTGCACTCTGGCCATGGCGGCAATGGCCGAGGGCAATGGGTCTGCCGAGTCCAAGCAGTACGTGATACAGTGTATCAACTTGCAGGTGACTTTTCACTGTCTGCGCATGGTAATCACACAGAAATTTGAAGATCTCTCTTATTTTGCTCCTGGTGTAGAGCAAGCCGATTTGAGGAAGTCGGAGATTGTACGAGACATGTTAAGAGTGATGAACGAGGCGCCCTTTTGGGGCCTCCAGGCCAACGGCGAGCCAAACGTAAGTCTTTTTTTTTTTTTTTTTTTTTTTTTTCCCTTACCGTTTCTTAAATCCCTCTTATCACCCTGCGGATATTTATATTTAAACTTCGGCACTTGTTTTGCTGACCTTGTGCTATCTTGATACCGCAGGTGGAAAAGATTCGCCTTATCGGAGCTAGTTTGCTAGCCATTATCCATCGGAACCAGGATTCACCCCTGGCAACGCGAGCTAGGAGTGACTTTTCGGTGCTCTTGGATATTCTCACACGGCTGGACTCCAAGGCGTCGGATCAGCTTAGGAGCACGTCTAATACCGTTGTTGGCTAAATGTGCGGAATGGAACCGAGCAACGAAAAAAAATTTAACTGTGTAAATATGGCAGGGATTCCCTTTCTTCCCCCTTTCAGCGAGTTGGGTATGTTGTTTCTAAGGGGGGCAAAAGGCGTTTTTGCATGGGTGTAATTTTACGTATGGAGCACTTTTTTTTGTGTGTATATTTTCCATTGCATTAATGAGATTAACCAAGATCTCCCGTCGTTTCAAGTACATTCAACCCTGATGTTCACTCCGTGGTGAGTCCAGGGACGGGTTACATGCAGCTTCCCTTGTGAGACAAATAAGCGAAGGAGGATTCGAAAGAAAAAAAAAAGGTGAGCATAAGAGGAATGTGATCGGGGAAATGCCGAGACATTCGGAGAAACATGGACGCAACGTTGTTGACCGTTGCGATTTCTCCGTCTCCGTTCATAATCTGGCCCTGGCCCGTATCACATATATATAGTTCCTTATCAAGGGGGAAGTTGGGAGCATAAAGTACGGACCCCATGTCTCTCTCTTCCTTTATGTTAAATGGCTGAGTAGCATTGCATTTGGGACATATGGCTAAACTGTGCGCTACCGCTATATACTGCTGCTGCTTGTTAAGGAAAGGAAGTTGAAAACACACAACAACACAAAAGAGGCAGAATTCAAAGGAAAAAAGCATAAAGGCTATTTCAAGCGGCCACTTTAACCCTTTGCCTTTCTGCAAACATGTCCTTGAGCACAAGGGCCGACTTCTTTGGCGTGCGCTTCAGGGTGGTGTAGTCTGTGTACGTGACGCCGAAGCGGGGCCCGTATCCGTCTGACCATTCTGTGTCAAAGCATGAGTGGTTAGTCTGGGGTCAATGAATCAAAGGTGATAGAGCTGAGAAGAGGGGGGAGAAGTTGGTACGTACCCAAGTTATCGAGCAGAGCCCAGGCAAAGTAGCCCTTGACGACGACGCCGTCCTGGGTGATGGCCTTGGAGATGGAATCCAGGTGCGAATCGAAGTATCGGATGCGGAAGGGGTCATCTACCGCCTCCTCGCACGTCATCTTGTCCTCTCCGGGGCACGGGCAGCCATTCTCAGTGATGTAAATGGGCTTGCCGTACAGGCTGTGCACTCTGCCGAGGTGCTTTCGGAACATGTCCGGGCAAGAGCGCAGCCAGAAGATGCCGCTCTCTTCGCCGACGGGGCTTCCGTCCTTGTTCTCCTGGTGCTCGTGGATGGCGCCGAGAAAGTCTGTCTTGGGGACTGGACCTTCGAAGTGACGAGCGAACTGAGAGGTGTAGTAGTTCATACCATAGAAATCAGTCTCTCCGGCGTTGAGAATGGCAAAGTCGGCTGGAGTGAGAGCCGGAAGCCTGTCGCCCAACTGCTTTCTCATGCAAGCAGGATAGTCCTTCTTCAAGCTATCATCCATGATAATTAGTATACCGAAAATCTCCAACGGAGAGGCTCTGAAAATAACTCACAAGATTGGATTTGCATACCACCCGATGTGGAATTCCATGCGCCGCTCTGCAGCCTCCTTATCTCTCGGATCACTGCTGTCCCAGGGCTCATAGTAGTCGCCGTTGAGCGAGATGCCGATCTGCCCCTTTTGAGAAGAGCGAAATTCTTTGCTGTAGACAGCCGCAGCGCGGGCATGGCTCATGATTTGGGCTTTTCCTGCGAGCCATGGCTCAGTGGTAGTGTCGCCCTCGGTGGAGTGCTTGTTAATGCTGCTCCTACCGGGAGCGTTGCTACCGGTGGCATAGCCCTGATGTTTGATTAGTATTGATGGTTGTATTACTGTATATGAGAGGGAGATATGGGATGAACCCCGTTGAGACTTACATAGATGGACTGGATCCACGGCTCGTTGATGGTGATCCAGTTCTTGACTCGGTCTCCGAAGCGCTCAAAGCACAACCTCGCATACCTCTCAAAGTCCAGCTGGACTTCCTCCACGTTGAGCCAGCCTCCATACCTATCATGAAGCGCCTGGGGAAGGTCCCAGTGATATAGAGTCACCCAGGGTGTAACTCCGCGCTTCAGCAAGGCATCGATCAGGTTGCTGTAGAACTGTATCCCTTCCTCGTTGATGGGATCAAGTCTTCCGCCGAGAGGGATAATGCGCGACCACGACAGCGAAAAGCGATAGGCCTTGGCGCCGTACTTGGTCAAGAGATCGAAGTCCTCATCGTAGCGGTGATAGTGATCGCAGGCAACATCGCCGTTGGCGCCGTTGGTGCGTGAGGGCTCCAGGTGGCAGTACGTGTCCCAGATGGACGGCCCACGGCCCCCTTCTTTCACAGCCCCTTCGATCTGGTAGGCGGCCGTAGCGAAGCCCCATTCGAAATCGTTGGGCAGAGCTAGCGACTCGGACATTTTGACGTATCTGTTGCTGCTCGTGTGTCCTGGCTGATCCTTTGTGATGTGTTTGTTGCAGGTGCGTCTGTGTCTGCTCACCAAACGACGGTAGGAATAATAGCTCAACTCAGGCTAATCATGTACATGTACGAGTACAGGTGAGAAAGCCCGTTACTGAAACGGACCGACCCGATGAGGCTCATGGTTCGCGTCAGGGGGGACAGCTTTATACCCACACGTGAGCTCAGTGGTTTGATTCTCATCCTCCCAACTCCATCCTCTCCAGGCCGTGTGGGGACCATTGCCAGTCATTGCTCCGTCGAGAACGGTTCGAGTCAGCTGTCCGTGATCAGCATCCGGTTCGTTGCCTTGTGCCCGTCTCGAGATTCGTACCGCTTCCCCGGACACACGTGGGAGCAGAGCTGGGGAAGTCCACGAGGCAATCAGCAGCTTGCAATTTGCCCCAGGCCCCGATACCCCGTGTCAGTCGATACGGAGATGCCCCGATGGGGAAATAAGGACGAGCATCTTACTCCCAGCACGGCGTCTTGATTGGCTGTGCGGCTTTGGCCGGCCTTTGTCGAATTATCCGGCCTCTTGGAAAGCCTCTTCAGCTAGCGTTTTGGTCGTTCCGCGGATCCTGATTTCTCCGAATCGCCGATTTAGATTCGATCTGTCCCCCCCGTGGGGAAGGAACTTGCCCGGGACGCGCGCTTACTTAATTTGCCCTGCATTGTTTAGCCTTTATCAATCTCGTGTTGCCCATTGACCAACTTCATCCATCATCTCACGAGATGTTGGAGAGATGGAGAGAATCGATGCTTCACCTACGGCTGCCATGCGACACTGCCTCGTGGCGGCCTGCCCTCACCGAGAATGGCTGGCCTGTTGACTAAGCAGAGCGACCGGCGCTTTTTTTTTGCGCTCGGTGAACCTTCTTTGCACAATGGCGTGACAAGCAGCAGTTGAGCTGAAGAGCCCGAGCCCAGCTCTGTCTGCCTCAACTTTGGTCTCTACACTTCATCGCTGAGAGACAAGAAGGCTGGATTATGGCTCCTGCTGCGGCACATACGGCTGACGGTATTTCATCGCCAATTGATTTGGCATCGTTTCCTCCGTTCTGGCGGCGCAAGAATGGCATCCTGCTGTATTTTCTACTCACCTCCTCGCTGCTCGCCAGCGCCGCGCTCGGTATTGATGGAGTGAGTTTTGCCCCCTTTCTTCTCTGCTTTTTGGACTCCCCCAATGAGCCAGGACTGACCAAGGGAAACCATGATAGTCAATGACCAACGGAATGCAAGTTCTCCCGACATGGCAAGATCAATTCGGACATCCCGAAGGCTCAACCCTGGGCCTTTTCGGCGCATCGAGTGCCATAGGCGGCGTTATTCCATTCATATTCCTCGGCTGGATCAGTGATAGATGCGGACGCCGTGTCCCAACTGCCCTTGGCTCAATTGTCATTATCGCTGGTGTCTTGGTCGAATTCTTCGCTACCTCGCTTGACATGTATATCGGTGGCAAGATTGTGCTTGGAGCTGGGTCCTCGCTGATCCAGATGGGCGCCCCGGTTCTAGTGACGGAATTGAGCCATCCAAAAGAACGAGTCCAGATCACTACCTTCTACAATACGTCCATTGTGCTGGGATACGTCATTGGTGCATGGGCGACTTATGGTTCCTTCCGCATTGCCGGATCATGGTCATGGAAGCTACCGACCCTGATACAAATTATTCCCTCGACGTACCAACTGTGCCTCATCTTCTTTTGTCCGGAGTCTCCTCGATGGCTGATTGCCAAGGGTCGGATGAGAGAAGCGCGCGAAATTCTGGTCAAATACCACGGCGAATGCGATCCAAACGCCAAGGTCGTCAATGTTGAATGTGCAGAGATTGAACAGGTCCTTGCCAAGGAAGCACAACAAAACATGACATGGGTTGACTTTTTTTCATCAATTCCCAATTTGAAGAGGATTGCGCTTTGCTTTGCAACCGCCGTCTTTAGCCAGAGCTCGGGCAACCTGCTCGTGTCAAATTATCTGACACAGATCCTAAAGGATACCGGAGTTACATCTCAAAGTGACATCACGCTTGTCAACGGCATGGTGACGCTCTGGCAGTACATTGTGGCGCTCGCTGTCACAGTTTGCATCAACAAGTTCAGACGACGCACCTTTTTCCTTATCGGTTCTGGAGGTGTTTCGCTTACTTTTATTGCCTGGACGATTGGGGCCGAGCAATATCTCGAGCATGGTTCTCTTGCTGCTGGCCGGCTAGTCCTTGCATGCATATTCATCTTCCAGGCGTTTTACACAATGGCCTGGACTAACCTGGTGGTGACATATCCTCTGGAGGTTGTGACTTATCAGATGCGAGCTAAGACGTGGGCCTTTGTCTTGCTAACAATACAAGTGGCCACCATTTTTGGGAACTACGTGAACCCAATCGCATTACAAAACATTGGCTGGAAATTTTACATTTATTATTGCATCTGGGTGGCGTTCATTTTTGTTATTGTATACTTCTTTTTTGTCGAGACCTCGGGGCCGACTCTGGAAGAACTGGCGTATCTTTTCGACGGGGAAGAGAAGAAGAAGCAGCTGTCAATCGAAACACGACGGCAGAAAGATGCGGAGATTCGCACGCAGACGGAATCAATAGGAGAGACGTCGGTTTCCGGTGCCTCTGTATAAAAATGATTGGGAAACTGAATTGCATTGAGTATTATTGGCGGACCTGGACACTGGAACAAAACAAAAATCATGATAGACTGGGCATTGGCGTTGGAATTGAGCAACATGGGGAATTCATTTTTACGATAGATACCTTGGTCATTGAGCCTGAAATTTACATTTCTCTACCACGTGGAAACGCCAGCCATTAAAGCAACATGAAGCCATCACTCGCATGAACTCATTAGGTAAGGCCTTTGGAGCTGTTGTCTTGCTAACAGGGATTAAGCAGGCAGCAACATATCACTGTTTTCAATCTCCACCGAAGCGAGCGAATCAGTGGCTGGCGGTCTCTGAAAAATGTCTCAAAATTGGCACATATCGGTCCATTTCCTGCGTGACATGAGATGCGAGTCTCCCAAGACGGGCGGATCCGCTTGATATTGGTTGGCTGGCTGGCAACTAGAAGCGCGAGCTGCTGCAACGGAGTCCCGAATGTGACTCTATTTAGGTGACGCAAGATTACCAGAAGCGGCAGTCTGCGGCGGTTGGAGCCTTGAATTTTCCTGTCCACGGGTGCTATTTCGCGACCACGGCAATCGAATGTCAATTGCCGCGCACAAAGTATCGATAGCCGGTTGAGTTCTCCATCTGCCGTTGGCTAGCAGAGCTATCGAAGCACCGTTTGCGTAAAAGAATGGGGCGAGAAAAAGCCCGGGAGCTGTTTGGTGTGGTGCAGTGGAGACGCAGCTTGCAAGGCCCGGATGAGGATATACCCAGTGGCAGAGGACATGATTCATGGTTCATGATTCAAGCAATGGCGCCGACGGGAGGAAGCGAGGAGATAGGAGCTTGTACGGCTTCACTCTTGTGACAAGGCTGATGTGTGTGCCAACCAGGCCAGAGAAATGACATCTCGGACAATAGAGCGAGATCGGCTGCATTGATGCGATGGGCACTAACTGAGCAGGACCGAGATCTGCTCCTAGTCGTTGTTTTCGTTGTTTTCTAGAACACGGTGGCGCCCCTGCTAGAGCACTGGTGATGGTGCATTGCATACAGGAACTTGCTTGATGGTGTGGTCCGGCTTCTGTTGGGCTTTTAATCCGCCGAACCATGACTGTCAATCATCTCCTATCATGACTAAAGCGATTGCATCAACAACCGGGATATCGGCAGCGAAGACGATGCAGCCAAATGTCGCCAACGGCATTACATCGTTTTCTTATCTCTCCCACAAAATCGAGGCATGTGGGCGTACTGTGCCGCGGACTTGTCCGACCCCTCCAACATGATCGGCATGGGGAAGTTTTTCGCCCCTGCACGTCTCCATTCCGATGGGGATGAGGGAGGAGAAGCTTCAATGGTGACCCATGGGGACTCCCGTCACGGTGGTATTTCTCCTGCGGAGGGATGTGGGACATGGGGATGGCGTTTTGTGATGGGTTTGGTGACAGGGAGTTTGTAAAATGTATATATATAACAGGTAGGTCGTATGAGGGCATGATGAGCTGGTCGATCTGTACGCCCTTGGCCTGCATGTCTTGGACCTGCTTCTCATAGTTTCATTTTATTTCACCTTGTCTCTTCCAACTCGTACACACTTGAAGCTGTTCATTGTTCAACAACAGCAACATCATCATGTCAGACGACGGCCACGAGAAGGCGAAACTAGAGTCTCACATTGACTTTGTTTCTACCGCGCCAGATACCCAAGATGTCAACGCCCTCATTGATGACATGGAGAGCCAGCTCGAGGCCTCTGGGGGTCTCGAGACAGGCCTCTTCCATGTGCGCTTCAGTGACCCGCGGCACTTTACCTGGCTGCTTGTCGCCTTTGCCAGCATGGGCGGCTTGCTTTCTGGCCTGGACCAGAGCTTGATCTCTGGCGCCAATCTGTTCTTGCCCAAGGACTTGGACCTGACGGCAAGGCAGAACAGTTTGGTGAATTCGGGCATGCCTTTGGGTGCTGTGGGAGGCGCTTTGCTGCTGTCGCCTGCGAATGAGTACTGCGGTCGCAAGTGGGCCATTATCATCTCCATCATGCTCTACACTATTGGTGCCGCGCTGGAAGCTGGCTCCATCAACTTTGGTAAGTCTAGAATATCTCCCCATGGCCCTAATCTATACCGTATATTAACATGTTTCCAGGTATGATTGTTTCTGGTCGTGTCATTCTGGGCCTTGGTGTCGGCCTTGAGGGCGGCACGGTCCCCGTCTATGTCGCCGAGACTGTCGAGAGCCGTATTCGAGGCAACCTCGTATCTCTTTACCAGTTTAATATTGCGCTGGGTGAGGTCCTCGGTTATGCCGTGGCAGCCATATTCCTCAAGGTTCCTGGCAACTGGCGATTTATCCTGGGCTCATCGCTCCTCTTCTCTACCATCATGTTTGTTGGGTGAGTGTGTCTCTACCTCTGCCTTTAGAGCACTGCGTTATCTTTGTACAAGGCGTACGCTGACGATGTATTTCAACTAGTATGCTATTTCTGCCAGAGAGCCCTCGCTATCTCATGCACAAGGACAGAATTCTAGATTCCTACAAGGTCTGGAAGCGCATCCGCGGCACAGAGTCTCCCGAGTCCCGGCAGGAGTTTTACATCATGGCCAATTCCGTCCAGCAGGAAAACACAGAAATCAACGAAGGCGCAAAGAATCAGCGCTTCCCTTGGATGGACTTTTTCACGTGAGTAATAGTATTCAAGCCCGTCTTTCATTTGTGGCTTTTGCTGATTAGAGACGCAGTGTTCCTCGCGCTCGTCGTGCTCTCGTTTACGCCAACATTATGATTCTCCTTGGACAGCTGACCGGTGTGAATGCCATTATGTACTACATGTCTGTCCTCATGAACCAGATCGGCTTCGATGACGAAAAGGCTACATACATGTCCCTGGTGGGAGGTGGAGCCTTGCTCATCGGAACAATTCCCGCCATTTTCCTCATGGAAACCTGTGGCAGACGCTTTTGGGCCATCACAATGCTTCCGGGTTTCTTTATTGGCCTGGTCTTGATTGGAGTGGCTTATCAAATTCCCATTGATACCAATCTCCAGGCAGCGGAGGGGCTCTATCTCAGCGGTCTCATCATCTACATGATGTTCTTTGGCTCTTATGCATGCTTAACATGGGGTAAGTTGAGTCGCTTGTCTTTTTTTAATTCTTATTTACTGACAATTTTGATCAGTTGTTCCGTCTGAGGTGTACCCAACCTACCTCCGAAGTTATGGCATGACTACCTCAGATGCTCTCCTTTTCCTCGCCTCTTTTATTGTGACATACAACTTTACAGCTATGGAAGACGCCATGACCCGCACTGGCCTAACACTTGGCTTCTACGGTGGCATTGCTTTTATCGGCGAGATTTACCAAATCTTCTTCATGCCTGAGACGAAAGACAAGACGCTCGAGGAGATTGATGCCGTCTTCTCGCGTCCTACTGGGGATATTGTGCGTGAGAATTGGGCCGGCGTCAAGGAGACTGTGGCGGACGTGTGCAGCGGCCGTTTCCGTAAGGTGATTGCAGGACAGATGCAGCGGAGGAAGAGTCAGCACGAGCCTGCGACTGCTTAATTGAGATAGGATTTAGCAATAACAGCTCAATTTTGATATGGATGAATACTGTAAGACTCTGTATGTGAATATGAGGAGCTGATGACTTCAAAGATGATTCTGAAAATGAAAATTGGTGCAAACGCTACACGTATAAGTGCCTCCTCTGACAGGGGATGGATGAGGTAACCGCCGCAAACCTCTCCTCGAATACCCACTCATCACATAGAAATGAAATAGGACGAATTCATATCTTGCTGGGTATTCTGGATGACAACAGAGCAGTCTATCCTCTATTCATTACATACTCATTCTCATTACATACCTGTCCAGGGAGCTCATAACCCGGTAATCTCCCCAAAATGGCCTGGCGCAGTGACTCTTAAGCCTCCTCCCCCAGATGCAGCACATTGTACAGTACAACCAATTCTTAACATGTCTCACCTGCTGATGCATTTTCACAGGCATTGCCCACATCACACGTTGACAATTGGATGCAACAGTGTATTCAGAATGTAGTCTTAACCAGTCACTGGCGTTTATTTAAAAAAGCTGGCATCTACCTGATGGCGTTAGAGGCATGGGCGTATGGCGTGCTGCCCGCGTATTTGTGCTAACACAGCCGTGGCTAGAATTCTTATATGCAATGACTCGGCCCATCGACCGACGGTCCGCATTCTCGCATTTGAACATCCATGCAATCCATGACGGAACAAGAGATAGACAAAAATCACCGTCCACACAACAATGTCTATCAGCTACTGGGAACACAAGGTCCAAAAAGCCATCATTCAAGCATGGCCGACGATCCGGAACAACTGGCACCTCGGCATGACCGCATTTGGCGGACCACCAGTTCATTTCAAAATTGTATGCAAAAACCATGCCCGAAGTGAATTCGACTGACCTTGGAACAGTTCCATGACAAGTTTGTTTTGAAACTGAACTGGATTGACGAGCAGATGGTGCGTACTACGAAAGACGATTCTGCTCGTTCAGGAGATTAACACCAAATTATCTCATAGTACCAAGAGCTCTTTAGTGTCTCGCAAGCCTTGTCGGGTCCAGCAAGCACAAAGATGCTTTATTGTGTTAACTTGATTCACAACGGCTTATATGGAGCCCTGATTGCATTCTTCATTTGGAGGTAAGCCTAGACTTCTGTCCTATGAAGCATCCAAGTAACCGTGTTGTGCAGTTTGCCCGGAGCTCTCGGGATGTTTGGCCTTTCCATCGGCGTCTCCAGTATAAAGAATACATTACCTGGCGCAGTCTACGCCCTGCTGTCCGGGCTGAATGCCGCAACTGTTGGAATTATTGCCTTGGCGGCCGTTGAACTATCAAACAAAGCGATTACAGACAAGCTGACTAGGATTCTTGTCTTTCTCACTGGTACTGCCGGAATGCTATATAATGCGCTCTGGTACTTTCCAGTCCTTATGTTCGCCTCTGGATTTGCTGCTGTTACAAATGACTACCGTTGGCTTCAACGCCTCGGCCGGATTGCCAAAAATACCTTTACACCTTCGAGCCCATCAACGGGAGCGGGAAGTGATGCAACTGAAAGAGATGACCGCAGGGGCTCCAGTCACTCTATCGCAACGCCTGAGGAACATCCTACAACCTCTAGCGATGACCCTGAGTCGCGCACTATACCACAGGAGCATCGGCTGAACTTCTCGTGGAAATCTGGAACGGCTATTATCACAGCCTTTTTCATCACCTTCATCATCGTAATGGTTCTCCGTGGAGTCTTGCGTAACCCACCTATCTTGTACAAACTCTTTGCTAACCTCTATCTTGCCGGAACTATCATTTTGGGCGGTGGGCCAGTGGTGATTCCGCTGCTGAGGGAATACGTCGTGGCAGAGGGATGGGTCAGTCCGCGGGACTTTCTTATTGGCCTTGCCATAGCACAAGCATTTCCAGGACCAAACTTCAATTTTGCGGTATTTCTGGGCAGTCTCACCGCTGTTAATAGCGGGCAACCCGCTATTCTAGGGGCAATCATTGCATACGTGGGCATCTTCCTCCCGGGGATGGCTTTAGTTCATGGGACAATGGGCGTTTGGAAGGTCTTGCGAAGCAAACCATGGGTGAAATCTGGGGTCAGAGGTGTCAATGCAGGCGCTGTTGGTTTAATTTACACAGCTGTGTACCGAATTTGGCAGGTTGGGTATATAGATGAGGGTTTCCATTCTGGGAGAAGCCTGGGTGATGATCCGTGGTGGGTGGTTATCACAGCGACAGCCTATGTTGGGGGCAGATACTTCAATCTCTCCGCGCCACTCGCTGTACTTGTCGGTGCTGCGATGGGATTGGTAAGATATGGAGTTGTTATGAGCTAGACATTTCGAGGACAAATGACATAGGCTGCGAGTATGGGGAGCCTTTTGCTAACAATGATGATATTCCCTTCTAAAAGCAGCTTGAATTTGCTCAAGTCAAGTCCTCCAACTCATAAGCATTTGCTGTATGCATGTGATGCATCGATTTTGTTCTTAAAGTCGTAATTGGCTAATACTGCTGTTTCCATTATTAAAGCTCCATCAAGTCAAGTCGGCTATATGAGCACAGGACTCCACACCAGCTTGTCCAATTAGCCGAGGCTCTCAACACCAGCAATCCGCCTTTGATGTATTGGCATTTACATGTATCTTTGGGAACCGTTTTCTTTTCTTTACACCCTGTTTGAGATTATATTGAGTACCTAGATTGAAGCATGTGAATCAAGTTGGTGCAGGCATTAACTTGACAGATTCAGCCCGCCATGTCCAGCATCCTCAACTCCCGGATTTGGCAATCAAGTTGCTGGCGGGCCAGCTCTTATAAAAGATTGCAAAGCCAGATCACCACCGAAGCCAAGCACAGAAATTTATCATGTACTGCCCATCGCCGCATCATGGATACGACGGGATTCACCGAGACGCAGCTCGCCGTGCGTCAAGCAGTCGGCCAAGTCTGCTCTCGCTTCTCCAACACTTACTGGCAAGAGCTCGATCAAAAGGAGCAAGACCCCAAGGAGTTTCACGCGGCCCTCGCCCGCGACGGCTGGTTGGGCATCGCCCTCCCGGAAACACTCGGTGGATCTGGCCTGGGGATCTCCGAAGCCGCGATGATGATGCAGACGATTGCCGAGTCTGGGGCCGGCATGGCGGGTGCGCAGGCCGTTCACGCCAACGTCTATGCCACGCAGCCGCTGGCCAGATTTGGGTCAGATGAGCAGTTGAGCGAGACGATTCCGGGCATCATATCGGGGCGGTGGCGGACATGCTTTGGCGTGACGGAGCCAAACGCCGGGCTGGACACGCTGCGGCTATCGACGACGGCGAAGCGCGAGGGCGACGAGTATGTCATTTCGGGGCAGAAGATCTGGACGACGTGCGGGCAAGTGGCATCCAAGATGATTCTCCTGGCCCGAACTACGGCGTACGAGGACGCTCCCAGGCCGAGTCAGGGGCTGTCGCTGTTCTGCATCGACCTGGACCGAACGCAACCCGGCCTTTCGATGCGCAAGATCAAGAAGATGGGCGGCAGGGCAGTCGATGCCAACGAAGTCTTCTTCGACGGCTACCGGATTCCTGCCAACACGCTCATTGGAGAAGAGGGCCAGGGCTTCAGGATTGTGCTTCACGGCATGAACGCCGAACGATGTCTTCTGGCCGGCGAGGCTCTTGGCCTGGGCTATGCAGCGCTGACTCGAGCCGCGACGTATGCCCGCGAGAGAATTGTCTTCCAACGACCCATTGGCATGAACCAGGGCGTTGCGCATCCCTTGGCAGACTCATACATGCATCTCGAGGCGGCCAAGCTGGCGACATACCACGCGGCGAGGCTGTATGACGCGAGCAAGACGGACTCTTCCATTACGCAGGAGGTCGTGGGAGTAGCAGCGAACAGTGCCAAGTATCTCGCTGCAGAGGCTGCTTTTACGGCTTGCGAGAGAGCTGTGCTGGCTCATGGGGGCATGGGATATGCGGCCGAGTATGATGTGGAGAGATGGTTTAGGGAGTGTCTGGTGCCGCGCATTGCGCCGGTGAGTAGGGAGATGATTTTGAACTACGTTGGAGAGAAGGCATTGGGACTACCGAAGAGCTATTAGAGAATTTTGTTCTGGGATGTGATTTTGATGTAAGTGAAATCAATGGCTTGGAAGTACATATCAGACCTGTAATACATACCCGTACCGCGTTGGCCGTGTGTAAGTGAGATACTGAGACGGCTATCATGAGGTCGCATGATGCGCACACGGCTCGCAAACTCTTACAAAGAGACCTCGCATGATAAGCTTAAATTAAAATAGACGAACAGGCCCATTGAAAAATGACTCACTCGTCAGTATAAAAGGGGCCATTAAGGCACCGCATTCATTCCCAGCAGCAAAAGCCGGGCACAGGAGAAGCCCCACCGTATCCGAGGCCGCGCCTCCAGTCCGAGCCGGAGCGGCAACTTGGCAAAACCTACACCTACACAGTTTTAAACAGTCATCCGCTTCAACACCAAAGAATCCGGCCTGAATCATCACATGCCGCACAGTCTCTCCTCGGCGCAATGGTATCCCCCAAAGCCGCATCGTCGTCTCCATTCGAGATGGACGGCAAGAAGTCGCGGGCCAAACACGCTTGTCGCGAGTGCAACACCCGGCGAGTGCGCTGCGATGTCATGGAGAAGCAGCCGTGCTCGAATTGCGTGGCGGCCGGGGCGAGCTGCCAGGTGCTGCCGTCGCGGAGAGGAAGGTATAATTGAATTGCTTTGTTCGATGGAGTGTGTCTAATGTGATGGATTGGCGGCTAATTTGGCAAAATAACCATCGTTCAAGATATCCGCGGCGATCTCGTCGGCTACTGCAGAGCATCCAGAGTGAGAGCAACACTCAGGCCCCCAGCGAGGCCAGTGTCCCTCACACCGGCCAAGTCACTCCTCTCGGCACTCCATCTCATGGGAACTCAACGCCAGACGCCCCGGCATCACAGACCTACTCAGCCCCGGAGCCTCAAGCCCAGGATGGCTCATCGCCGTCTTCTCCAACCACAACGCCCGGAACCCGCTTCTTTGGCGAATCCAACTTCCTCACGCTGATGCCGAGAGACGATGAGGGCGCTTCAGCCCAATCCAACCTCGAGGGTAATGACCGCAACAACCAGAAGCCGCGCTTCACGTTTCCCATGCCGGCCACGCCGCAATCCACCGCTCTGGCGGCCGAGGGCAATTCCGGCCGCAGCCCCGGCTTGATGCGCTACCTCCGTGACGAAGGTGCCCTGACTCTCCCGGATTTCGAGAGCTGCCGGCCGGCCTTTGAGGCGTACTTTTCCTGGTTCCATCCGGCCTATCCCATTCTCGACAGGGCGCTAGTGGCGCGGCGATTGGCCTCGGCGTCGTCCTTTTCTCAGGTGGACTTGTCGAGGATGCTGCTGCAGACAATGCTCCTGATCGGGGCGACATATTGCGATGCGAGCACGATCCGCGCCATGGGCTTTGAGGACAGATCGCAGGCCAAGACGGCGTTTTACACGAGGGCGAGGGTGCTGTTCCATGCCGACTGGGAGAAGGACGAGACGGTGTTGATGCAGTCATTGTTTCTGATGAGTTTCTGGAGAGGGGCGCCGGCGCATGTGCGAGATGTGCGGTATTGGCTTGGGGTTGTCATTACGCTTGCCGAGTCGTACGGGTTGCATCGCTCGTGGGTTTCTTCCTATTGCGAGTGGTTTTTGAATGTTGGTGCTGATCAGTCATTGTCAAAAGGTCTCGATCCACATCAAAGGACTCATATACCGCCTGCATGAGGCGAAGAATGTGGTGGTCTATCTATGTAAGACTATTCCTATCCCCACAGCGCGATAACTCAACTCATCCCTTTGAAAATGTAGGTGAGAGAACGACAGGCTGCTGCAGCTCTAGGCCTTCCCAGCAGAATACGGGATGACGACTGCGACATTGAGCCTCTCAGCGCACTGGACTTGGAGTTCGATGTCAACCCTGTCGACCCGTCCTTTGGCTCATGCCAGCCGGAGCACGTCACATATGCAATCAAGATGGTAGAAATTGCCAAATTACGTGAGGATACCACAGTCTCGCCCCTCTGATTTTCTTCCTTTTTTTCCTGCTCTTTTCTAGTCCATTTCAGGACGCTCTTACTAAGATCAGAGGAAAACACCAGTCGGCAGAATCATTGACCTCCATTTCGGTCCTGGCCATGCCTCCATGTCCTCAGCATCCCCAAACACTCTTCAAGATCTCAATGCGTCTCTCGAAGCCTGGATGGCAAGTCTCCCAGAAAACATGAAATACTCTCCGGATCATGGTACAGATTCAGTCTGGGCGTGTCTGCTTCACCTCGCATACAAGTACGGTATCCCTGTTCCGCCATCAGCTTTGGCTTGGTCTCCCATTCCTGCTAACCACCAAAAAATAGCCATCTCAAGATTCTTATCCACAGGAATAGCTTCCTCCGCCTCGAATCCACTACCCCTGGCTCTCAGGTCGTCCTCAAAGCTGCTTGCCGCATCAGCCGCATCGCAGAGGACATGTCCACCCAGGGGATACTCCGCTACGGCCAAATGCATCTGTAAGTTCATTCTCAAGCCTCCCCTCAAGGCAACACCTTTCTTACGTTTCTGGGTAGCATTACGAGCATCTTTTCCGCCCTTTGCATCCACACCATCACCATCCGGCGCGGCACTGGCCTGACCCGACGTCTTGCTGAACACCGCGCCGAGGCGTGTCTCCTCTGCCTAAAAGAAGTCCAAAAGTACTGGCGTATCAACATCAACGTCCTCGACTTTTTCCTGCATTATCTTGACCGCTCAATCGCGGCTCGATTACATGGGATGCAGTCGGATGCCGCTGCGCCGCCTCCTTCCAGCGCCATCCAGGGCCCTGCCAGAGAGGCAAACGAATTGAAATCCGTCGCAGCTGTGGATGCAATCCCTTCGGAGTCAAATTCAAATCCGAGCGTATATCCTCCTCTCGAATTTGACTCGGTATCAATGCCTAATGTTTCCATACCTACTCTCGGGCCGGGACATTATCTAGCGCAGGAAGAATTCCGAGAACAGTATCTCGGCCTCGTCAGCCAAAGTGACGACTTGTTGGGTGATTTGGAACTATTTCTGCAGGGTGAAGATTTTTCACAGACAGGGAATGGATTTGACGTCTTGCAAAGGTCATTATAGTAATTGATTGAAGACGACGACTTTGTATATATACTCATATCATTTAATCATCTTATTAGAGTCCGATCACTGCCATCGGGCACATGGACAACTCGCTACTACCAATATACAGATCATAGATTTAAAAACAATTTCATACTCATCCAAAGCTCATAACAATGCCAACCTATGACATTTGATTCCAACAGATACAACATACAGCATACTAAAAGAAAAAGCTCATTACAAGAACCACCTGAACTCAGGAGCGCTGGGTCCGTCCCTGAGTCGCGAAGTAGGAATATCCCGAGGGTCAATCTTGACGCCGGAGCGGCGATCACGCCTCCTGTTGTCCCACATCATAAACATGCCCATGCACAGAGTGATGAGAGCGCCAGCAGCGCCGAAGCAGGCCGTAGTGATGAGCGCAGGCTCGTATCGGGGAGCGTCCTGAGTACGGAAGATGTTGCTGGACACGAGACCCATGACATTAGCCAGGGGCACACCGACAGATGTAAGGGTGATACGGCGGCCTTCGTGTGCGATGTTGTTGTTGTACCAAGTAGAAAGCAAGACGGAGGGAGCAGAAGTGCCCCAGCACATCATGAAGGTGGCAAAGTAGGCAACGTGTAGCTGCTTGGTGACATCGTCGATGGCAGCGTAGATGATGAAGCCGGTGAAGGTGAAGACGTAGCCCAGGATGATGAAGGGGAAACGCAGACGAGTGAAATCTGAGCAGAAGGCGAGGACAAGCAGCATCACAGCGCCAGTGACGTTGGGGGCAACGGTGTAGAGGTTCGTCTTGACGGTGGAATATTGCAGACGGGCGATGATCTGGGGCAGGAAGAGCGACACGGACTGGATGGGCACACCGAGGCAGATTTCTATGAGCAGGAAGCCGTACGCCCAGGGGTAGGTGAAGATCTTGAGAGCATCGCGGAAGTTGAACTCTTCGGCAACATCGGACGAGGAATCGACCTGGATACGGTGGAAGGCAAGCGAGCGCTCCTCTTCAGTCAGGAACTTGGCCTCGGAGGCGGAGCGAGGAAGATAGAACCAGGCAAAGATGGCGAAGAGGAAGGTGACGCCACCCTCGATGATGAAGAGGTAGCGCCAGACGAGAATCTTGCTGTCCTTGATGTGGAAGACACCGAACGCCAGGAGGCCAGAGAAGGCATTGGCGATGTTGGAGGCAGCGTAGAAGATGGCCAGACGTCGGGCAAGCTCACCACGACGGTAGAAAGTGGTCAGATAGTAGATGACGGTCGGGAAAAAGGCGGACTCGGCCATTCCCAGGAACCAGCGCACGGCGAAGATGCCGCTGAAATTTTGCGTGGCGGCGGTGCAGAGCGTCATGGAGCCAAAGGTGAACATCATGATGGGCAGGGCGCGCGAGGCTCCGAATTTCTTGGCCAGCATGGCAAAGGGCGGTGCGAAGATGACGTAGGGCACGAAGAAGATGGAGACGACGAGGTTGTACTGGTTGGCCTTGAAGTGAAGATCTAAAGGGGGAGGCATGGAGTTTAGTTGATGCCGTCACGAGACAAACTGATGTTGGGGGATGAGGAGATGCGTACCGCTACTGAGGCCCTTCGTCTGGGCGTTACCCAAGTTACCCTTATCGAGGGCATTGAAAAGGTCTAATAGGGGGAGAAGTAGTCAGTCGCTGAGTTGATTCTATAGATGATGGCGGCTGTCTTCATCAAAGACACACCTGTCCAAGCATCAAGTTAGGAGGCTCAACTTACACATAATAGCCAGCACAGGCAGGATGCGAATGTCAAATTTGAAGCACAGGGCTCGCTCTGCAGGATGATCGACGACGCGTGCCGTCTCTTCCATCATGCCCTCCTTCTGGCTCTCGATGTGATCGAGCTGATCGTTGGTGCCCATGTCCTTGGACACGCCATTGTCGACCTCTTGAACAGCCATGATGACTGCAGCTTTTCACAACTGACACGCTGTGAAATGGAGAATAATAAATTATTCAAGACGGCAACCCCTCTGAATTGTTGTGGGAGGGGAAAAGAAGAGAGACAAAATAAAAGGGCAAGACCGCGAGCGTGGTTTGCGAGGTTGGGATGCGGCCGGAGCTTTTATAACAAAAGTCTAGCTCAATGCACACCGACCTACTGGAAGCGCTCAAGAGCTGGTTTTTTTCCCCAGGCTAAAGAGGGTCGTATTTGATGCACAGCTGATGGCTGACAAGCAAACTCAACCGAGCATAGACCACGCAGATGGGAAACGGAAGCGCGGCAGCAGGGGGGATGCCGGCGCTTTTTATGACTTTTTATGATAATGTAACTCTAGATAGCAGACAAAGAATTGGTCAGTTGAGATAGACAGCCATCAGCATCAGGGGTGGTAGCTAAAGAGAGCGAGAAAAAAAGGATCCCGGGCTGGTCCATTCCAGCTGATGATGCTGTTGCTTCTGTCTTTTTGCTCCAACAAGACAAGGCTTTGACCCCCTCCACACCCCCAGCAGTTTGGACGTGATCAACTTACTAGCAAACTCCGTAATCACGGCCGGACCACCATCAGACAGGTCCCGGAGATGTGGAAAGATTGGGCGGCATACGTCCAGTTCCAGTCTTGTGCAAGATTGTCACAAGAGTCCCGTATCCTTGTATCCACCAACCCCCCAAATCTCTTATCTCTCTACCCTCTTTCTCTAGATCCACGCCAGACAGGCAACAGGATGATGGGCAAAAAGGGCCAGCAAAAGATGGACTATCTATCAGCAGATAGGGTTTTTTTTCTTGCTCAATAGCACTTTGCCGCTGGTTTACGTTCTGGGCCGCCCGGCATTTAGGTGATGACTCGCCTTCTCGAAACGAGGCACAGGAAGAAAAGAGACGGCGCGTTTTCCATCCATCCCCGGATCAAGCCACACAGCCTTTCCCTTTTCTCCAGAATCCTCTCCGTGGGGAAGACGAGAGAAAACCTGGAGAAGCAGACCCTGCCTACCCCACACTATTTCCCTTCTGGCCCTCCCCTTCAGAAGAAGAAGTTTCTATGTGAAAGCGTGACTAACACAATGGCCCAGCGACGAGTCGGCAGGGAGGGCCCAAGCGCAAGAGAGAAGAGGGCGAGACAAACAGTCTCCAATCCTGACCCCCTTCTCGAATCGCCAAAAGGCCGCTAGCATAGTAGATCCATTTTGCTTTAGGCCCGGTGGGGGAGCCCAGGGGAAGCGATTAGAACGCTGATGGGTGGGTGAGAACAAGGCCGTTGATGGGCGTTGGACAGCCTCGGATCCATGGAACTTCGAGTTGATACTTGCAATATCTGCTTTGTTCACGTATATGAACAAAGTCACTATCACTCATGATGGGCTATTTTTTATGCAATCAGTGGAGCAACATGGGGTCTTTGACATGTCTCTTGTCTTGTCAATCTATCTCGACGCCACAAATGCTCATTCTCGGCCAAATACAGAAGCTGACCGCCATTCAGTGGGGGAACGAGCATGGGGGGTTGGTCTGCAGCCGATATCGAGAGAGATACGAACGGGGGTTATTGCTTACACGGGGGTCACTCTGCTTGGCGCTTAGCCAGCCGTGGTCCAAAGGCCGTTCCAGCCATCGGATCCCTGCTTCCGAGCTGTGATAGTCACAGCCCAATCAAATCGCGTGGTGCGGCGAAGTGTTTGGGGGTCTGGGAGGGGGTCAGGCAATGGCCACATGGGTGAGGGGAAGCGATTTGGGGAAAAGGCTAGGAAGAGTCAGTCAGCCTGGCCCCCTCTGTCTCTTCTGCTGCTATCACCAAGCTCACGAGTAGTATGTATGTTAGCATGAGCTTGAATCGTCAACAGCAAGTACCTGGACGCTATTACAAGCATGCAAGTGTACATCCAAGCTGCAGCTGGGGCCACTATTCCCACTCTCCAGCGGGGAGCTGTTGTTCAAACTCATACTCTCTCTCTATCCCATTGCTTTCCAGCTTTACCCGATCTCGCCTAAGCAAGGCACCCTACGTCACAAGAATGCACAGTATGTAAGAGGTCCAGTCAATGCAGTAGTAATAGAATTTCTCAAAGTGGGAATGACTGTTGGAATATGAATTTCTGTCTCCTCCGCACGTAAACCTAGTCTTCTTCTCCTCTCTTCTGACGTTCATCTTCTCTCTCTCTCTCCTCTTCTCACTTCTCCCAATCACCAAAGACCCTCAAACCACAGCCAAAATGTCTGGAAAGGAGCCCGTTCTCACCACCAACGCCCCCAAGCCTCTGCCCGGCATCTACAGCCAGGCCATCAAGGCCAATGGCATGGTCTTTGTCTCTGGCGCCGTGCCCATGGACCCCGTCACCATGGAGCTCATCCCCGGCGACATCCAGGCTCACACCGTACGTTATTTCCTCAGCAGGTGACGAGTATCACAGCAAATCAAAGGCACCCAGTACTAACGAGATTCTGCCCAACAGCACCAATGCATCAAGAACCTGTCCGCCATCCTCGAGGCCGCCGGCACCAGCCTGGAGAAGGTCGTCAAGGTCAACGTCTTCCTGGCCGATATGGGCGACTTTGCCAAGATGAACGAGGTCTACAGCACCTACTGGGGCGATGTCAAGCCCTGCCGAACGTACGTATTGTTTTGTCCTTTCACCACCACATCTCTCCATCTTTCTCTGTCTCTTGATTTCTGCTTCCTTCTCTCGCCTTGAATCCGTCCCTCTTTTTGGTCTTGTTACCCCTCCATGTCTTCACAAGGGCGCCCCGCCATCGGATGCAACATTGTGGTGGGGGTCCGTGAGAGGAGCTTAAAAAAGGGCCATGTCACGTATTGTACTGCTGTGTGCATTTTTCAGCTGTGTCAATAGCTGGTCAAAACGTATTTGGATGTTGGCTGACAATTTATGATGCAACAGATGCGTGGCTGTCAAGACCCTGCCGCTGAACACGGATGTTGAGATTGAGTGCACTGCTGTCCTGTAAATGGGAATTTAGAAAATAAAAGAAAATACCAAAGGATGAATAAATGGGAATAAGGATATAGACCAAAAAATAAAAATTGAGCTTGGGAGTTCCCTAATCTGTTTGCTTCGAACTTCATCATCAGTTTTGCTGTGTAAATGACATCTCCCAATCCAACAACTCGCGCCGTGTAAGTCAAACATGCCACGTCAAGTCAACCCAAGTCAACCCAAATCAAATTAAATTTAGTCAGTTTAATGTCAAAACGCAATCAATTTGTTGAGTTATCCCAAAAATACATGTTATATATATACGCCTCATGATGTATTTCCAAATGCAAGTGTCATCAAACCCCTCCATGTCTCCTCCATCTACGCAACGTCTGGCAGCGCACTCTCCACGTCCATCATCGCCTTCATACCATCCGCAATGCTCTTCACCTTGATCTCATCTGGCCTGGGCAACGGCCTCCGCGCCCATCCTCCGTATCCAAAGTACGACTGCATCGCCGCCTTGACGCCCACGACGCCCGTCTGGATCGCAACCCAGTCACCCGCCGCCAGAACAGCCTGAAGCGCCGCAGCCTCGGCCGCCTTCTCCGGACCAGCCTCAGCAAGTCGGAACAGCTCAACGTTGGCTCGCGGCGACACGTTGGCCAGCCCACCGATGACACCGGCTGCGCCGCTGGTCACGGCCGACAGCGTGAAGTCGGCGCTGCCGGCAAAGCACAGGAAGTTTTCGCCAGACGCCCGCACCGCAGCAGCCACGCGGCCCAGCTTGCCTGTGTTGCCGCAGGTGAACTTGCAGCCGACGATGTTGGCGTGGTGGCTCAGGCGGATCAGCACGTCCGAGTTGACGTCGATGCCAGGCGTGGCGCCGGGATAGTTGTAGATGATGATGGGGATGGGCGACTTATCGGCAACGGCAACGAAGAAGCTCTCGACCGTCGCGGCGTCAAACAGACCGGCGTAGTAGCTCGGCGGCAGCACCAGCGCATAGTCGCCGCCGTTGGCCGCCGCGTCTCGACACAGGCTCACGGCCTCGATGACGGACTGCGCGCCGCATCCGACAATCAGCGGCATGGACGAGAAGCCGGCGGCATCCAGGGCCGATCGCGTGGTCCGGGTGATGGTGTTGCGCTCCTCGTGAGCCAGATGAACCGCCTCGCCGTTCGAGCCTTGGACCGCAAGGCCTGCAACTCCCGCCTTTGCCAGCCGGACGGCGTGCCGTGAGACCGTCTTGACGTCCAGCTCATCTGTCTCGGGGTCGAAGAAGGCCACCGTGGGCACGTAGATGCCGCGGACCAGAGCCCGTGCTGGGTGCTCGCCATTTGCGGCGGCCGCGGTAGGAGAATAGGCAGCAGAAGGAGACATTGTCTGTTTCTTTCTTTCTTATTGAAGACGGCTTTCACTCTTACTTTGGGAAGAGGATGAAGCAATAACAAGAGATTTTGTCGTGTGTTATAGGATACAGGAGAAACCGTATAACGGTAAGGTCTCTAGGGAATAAACAGTATGCTTCACACAAGAACAAGCCAAAGAGAGAGAATACAGTCCACACAACCTTCGACTAGAGGAAATAAGAAGAAGAAAGGAAGAGGACGAGGGGAAAAGGGAACGGGAGGCAAAGCATAATAGCCCGGTACCTACATTAGCAGCCAAGCAACTCGCGTCTCGTCTCTTTCACCCATGCTACGTATTATTGCCGACACATCCAAGCAAAAAAAATGCTACTATTGATTGCCAATGTCGTGCTCCATGGGCCAGAGACACCGAAAAACGCAAAAAATGGCGGTACCCCCACGCTCCCCATACTTTTCCACTCGCCCGTACGAGTACATGTAAGGGGAGAGAGCAGCAGAGAGCTGCTGATCATGGGGAACAGGAAGGGCATGGGGACTGAGTAAGATAATCTCCATAGTTTTTGCCGCTCGGCGTCTCTCACATCTCACAACCCTGCCCAGAGCCAAGTCTTCCTATCCCGCTTTGCAGCTAGTTTCAACCTTGTTATCCCCCAGAGAAACTCACTCGGATGTTGGTGGTTTTTTTGCTCAAATCAGAAAATCGGGCGCCACAACGTTGGAGTTTCCCCGTCTTTTTGGGGGGGTTGAATGTGGGGGATTTTTGCCATCTGTCCAGACTCCACTGATATCCCCCGTCATGACATGGTGAAGAATCGTACATGTATTCATTCGGGCATGTGCTTTCGGTACCTTGCAGCAGTTCGCACACGAAGTCGACGCAGATCCAGCAGCAATCTATTACTTTTTCTCCAGTTATACTCCGTAATTATCCTATTGGAGGCCGAAAGCCGCCTGTTTATTCCTTTGCTCATGGCTTCCCGGAGCCGGCCGGCATCGACGCCCCTTGCTCACGTCGGTGGGGGTCTCTTGATCCTCTGACTTTGTGCCGTTCTATTCTATGGAACAGGTGTCAAGGACGAGCAGTCATGTGGCCTCTGTACAGAGTCAAACGAGTCTCATATTATACATAATCAGACAAAGTATTATACAGAATCAGACAAATCCTATTGCTCTATACGGAATCAAATAACACCACGTTGCTCTACTGAACATAACAAATGTCATAATATCTCACTCAAGTCTACTAGTAATACATCCATCACCACCCCCTGGCCTTGATCCAAACGTCCACAATCTCATCCTCATGACCCGCCTTGTCCTCGTCCACCACAAAATACCACCCAAAGTGACTGCTCGTGATGCACGCATGGTTCGGCCACAGCCTCAGCTTTTGTCCTGCCTCCACCGCATCTCCCTGGGGCCCCAATCCCTTCTCCGTCTTCCGCTTGCCAGCCGCCCATGTCAAGATGCCGTGCTCCTGCGCAAATCTGCCCACTGTCCAGCCTTCGTAGTCCTCGACGTCGCAAGAGGGCATCGCCACATCTCGCCCCCACGGCGTCACCATGGCCATGCCGTCGTATGCCTTGCAGAACTCGCGGCCTAGTGCTAGACCACCCGCCCCGATCAGCGCCTCATCCGTGCCGTTGGTGCCCCGGCCGGGATACACGCCGTGAACCTCAGCCACGACAGTGAGGGCAATGTCTCGCCATGACAGCTTTGAGGAGGCCATGCTGTGTGCCGCCAATTGCTGCAGATCCAGGGTCGGGTACACGCCTGCGTGGATCTCCACCGCATGGCCCTTGCTCTTGACCGTTTGGAACAGCCCTGCCAGCTCCGTCACCGCGGCCTGCAGCTCTGGTGTGCCAGTCTCGCGATCTTGAGCCTCGTCCGGCTGTCCGCTCAGCAGGTTCTGCACCGCCAGTGCCGTAGGAGACGCTCCGGCCGAGACAACCAGCGTGGGCAGCGTAACACCCGCCTCCTTTGCCTTGACAACCAGCCTCTCCGCGCCGCTCAGCATGGCATCGACCTCAGCCCGCAGCATCTTTACCGCGGCAACACGGCTGTCTCCTCCATATGAGTGTCCCGCATGTGAATACAGTCCGGACAGCACCACGGCTCCGGCCTTGTGAGCCGCCAACGCCGCATCGGCAACCTGGACGAAGCGCTCGCTGCTCTCCACGACTCCGGCTCGCTTTCCACCCATGTCAATCTTAATGTGCGCCAGCGGCTTCACACCAGACTGCTTCTCCAGCTCTGCCGCTGCGGCCAACTGCGCAGGGTCATCGAGAAGAACTGAGATGCTACCTTCGCCGAGCACCTTTGCAATCGCCGCCAGCCGCGGCACGGCTCCCTTGGAGATGGGCAATCCGTAGACAAACTGTCCAAGTATCATGAAATGTCAACTTCTGCTCGTAGAATCTTTGTGAAAGAAAAGTAAAACCTACATTTACCTGCCTCCCCTTGCTCTTATACTCCTCCAACAAAGGCAGAATAAACTCTGCTTCTGAGAGCGTCGAGACAATCAGATTCGCCGGCCTCATTACATCCTCTCCAACTTGCAATCTTGTCAACTCGACAGTCTACCATCCAGTTCTCAATATTAGCCACCACACCCCCCCAGATGTGAAAAGACGGCGTCTCACCTTGTGTGTCTTCACATGCGCCCTCCACCCCAGCTCCAGCTTCTGCACCGCCTCTAGCATCCTCTCGCAGTTCCGCCTCGCCGCCGCAACATTCATCACCGCCGCCGGCGTCGGCACGTCCCGGATCGACTTGCCCACAAACTCCTTGACCAGCGCCTCCTTGGGCGAGGTGGGATAGTAGACGAGTGACGACATCTTCTTCAAAGCTGGCTGCTGAATAGGACGCTGAAAAGACACGATTGTAATGAGTTGGTCTATTTTCACAACTGGCCAATGCTCAAATCGGTTCGCTCGTCAAATTGCCAGATGCTTGAGGACAATGCAATGGAGTGAATAAAGAAATCGTTCCTTGAGCTTATTGCGACATCGGATAACTGTGGTACAGTCAATCCAAGCTCTCTCCATCCCGTAGTTGCTTCAGCCCCTCAATCCACATCAAATTGCCCCTCATTCTCAAGGAATACATGATGGCCCATTATGTTCCCCCACGGCAAAATGGTGGCACTTTCACCACTAGCACAAAGAGGAGAAGCATCCCGTAATCAGTGGGGGTCATAGATATACGGTGGCAAGCAGTGGACTCGACCTCGGAACTACCAGGGAGGAGAGAATTCTTTTATTTCTCTGCCTATCTACGGAGTGCTGTACTGCATTTCTCCATTTATATCTAGCATATTTATCTATATCTGCTAGTCCTATCTATATCTAGTATATTTACTGATATCTACTTCGTAATATCGAGTTTATCTACATCAGAGTGTATCTAACAGCGAATACTAAAAGTAATAACGATGGCAGAAGAAACGGCGATAGTAGAAGAAAATAGTGATAGTAGCAATAGTAGAAAAAAGTAGCGATACTAGAAGAAAGTAGCAATGTTAGGGGCTTACTTCGCCAAGCCATGTTATACGAATATCATTAATATTGAGAACTCATAATTATGCATCAGTAGTTGCCAATCTGTCCTGCAACTCATACCCCGGCTGCAGCCAAGTAGGACCATTAGTCGCCTCCATTCCTTCGAACTGTGATATCAAGGCTTGAAGCTTGACCCCCCTCGGCTGCCGCTGCCATGCATAGGAGGATGAACTGAAGATATCGTCCATTTCTTCTGGAGGTCCCCCTTGTGTCTCGCGAAAGGCAGCCGCCACGTGGAAAAAGGCGACCATATTCACTAAACAACTTGATAAGTCACATGTTTGTGCATGTCAGAATCCAGAGACCACCTACTGACGACGAGTATGAAGTATGTCTGGGAACTATTGGAGCCTCTATGTCAGTAGTCTTTATCTCATTGCCAAAAAGAGACGGGATAGAAGACAAGAATAGCGAGACGAAGTAGAAAAGAGGCAGCAAACAGGAAGAGAGAAGGACGCCTACTCGTAAGACAGCACTGCCGATCCGAACCTGTTAGCCTTCGCTCTAGAAAGATGCATGTTCTTCACTTACGCAAACTAAGCTCCGTAAAGGTCAAGGCCACATTGTAAATCCAATAGCATATCGAACACAGTGCAATCCCTCTGGTGCGAAGGTGATTCGGGAATATCTCTGCTGTGTAAGTCCACGATACTGGGCCCCACGAAGCCGCATATGCGATGATGTAAAAGCAAGCGAAAACCACCACGGCCGTTGAAGCGCCTCGGTTTTCGATGACCCAGGGAAACCATCCGTAGATGCTGCTTCCAATAAATTCCAAGCTGAGTTCGGCATATTCGCTATGGATTATTCCTGTGAAAAGAAAAGAAAAAACAAGATTAGCTGCCATGTCTGTGATTGATCTGAGCAAGACTCAAGCTTCACCTATTATCGAGAGACACGATGCCATTGTCAAGGAGCCAATGAGCAATGTCACCCGTCGACCCCATTTATCCATCAGTCTCGAACCCAGAACGCATGTGGCAACGACATTGAGCAGATATAGAACGAAGATAACCAAATTGGGGTGTCTAACTCCTGCGGCAGTCACAACAAAGACAGTGTGGTGAAGCATAATGTGCATACCACACGCTTGATTCCACATCTGCATAAACAGACCCGTCACAAGCCTCCTGAACTCCGAGACACGAAGCAACATTCGCAGCCGAGGCTGTCCCTTCTGGCGCTGATCCCGGATATCCTCCCTCATTAGCTCATACTGCGCCCGAAGTCTAGGGTCGTTCATTCTTTTCTTTTGTAGCTCGGCCATGAACGCATGGGATTGAGCCCAATGGCCCTGCGAGGCAAGATAATATGGACTCTGGGGCAGCAAGAACGTAAAACCCGTGAAGATAGAGCCGGGAATAAGTTGAAAGATAAATGATACTCGAAGAGCAGACATGAGATCTTCGCGAGGAATCGGTTCAGTCATGTCAAGCATGCTCCACGAGAGCTTAGCAGCGACGTATTGGTTGACATTTTGCAGGAAGATACCGGCAGCGATAAACAAATATAGAAGGCTGCCATCATGTTAGCCTCGGACGCCATGTCATGAGTTTCTACGCACCTCATGTAGGCTCCCCGATTCTCCCGTGGCGCTATTTCGACCTATTTGACTCGTCAGCCAAACTTATCACTACAACAAAGCACTCCTTACCATATATGCGGGCGCAGCGACACTGAGAATTCCAGCCGCCAGCCCGGCCAAGACTCGTCCGATAGACAAAACCGCAAGCCCTGGTGCAACAGCCATGAGACAGCTTCCAATCAGCCAGAACACAGATGCGCAAAGCATAGTCCTAGGTGGCTTCAAGTCATCCATGAGGCGCCAAGACACGAGTGCTCCCAGTATCGAGGCAATAGGCATCGCAGCCGTGACAATTTCCCTCTCCCACCTCAACAGGATGGCAAAGGTTGGTGAGTACGCCATGACATCGAGAAACCCTGACATGGACGATAAGTTGAGGCCGATGAGGAGGCCGCCTTAGCAGGAGGCTCTGTTAGAAAAGATGGGCGTTTCTTAATCCGCGGTAGGCACCTAGGATTGGATGGGAGCTGGGGATAGGTATGTAGATACTCACTCATGGAGGCGATAACGCATATATGTATAGCACTTTTCAATATCATGGCGACAACTGCTGATAAAGTAGCGAGAACAAAAATAATTCGCGGTAAAATGCGCGTTGGCCAAAAATCATGCTGCTGAGACGATTAAGAACAAAAAGGCACGGAGAAAGCGGAGCAGAAGATGCTTTTGTTGTTGGCATTGAAGTGGGAAAGAAGCATGTTGTAATGTAAAGCATACCTAGCGAGCAATTGGAGAGGGAGTAGCTATCCAAAACTTATAGGGGGGCAGCGAGTAGCCCCTTACTTGGTCGTATCAGACGGTAGAAGAAGCTACGGTAGAGATAGAGATGGTAGACAGAGTAGCGATATAGCGACAGAGAACTGTATCACACGTTGGCAGTCACAATTCACAAGCCTAAGAACAGGCCTCCAAATTCTGAGCAGCTACCAAGCATTTCTTTACAGGTTTGAAGACAAAAGCATATACCATGAAACGTCCAAGTTTCAGGAATACAATCCATAGCCAACAATAAATCTTCCCTCTCCACAGCTCTGCGTAAAGCAGCCTCTGCAGTGAGGAAAAAGTGGTGACCAACATCACCGAGAGTCCATCAAGCCCAGCCACAGAGGCTACCATCGACAAAGGCTGTCCGGAAAAAAACGTGTAATTCCAGACACCCTCGCCGACGAGGCTGAACAACATCTCTCTTCATCTGCATCATAGTCAGCGTCCAACAGATCCCAACACCCCCTCCCTGCATGTCACTTCGCAATATGCTTCGTAGTTAGTTAAAAGTTCAGGTAAGAAATCGATCGATTCGGCTCAATGCGTAGGTAGACGGTAGGTTCAAATAGTCGCGATCCCTGAGGTATTCCATTAGCTGGCGGTCACAAACAACCGCCCTGGCCATAAGAACAGTAAAAACCACTGCTCTGGATCCTCCATCGCGCCTGATCGTCAAAATGTTACTAGTACACGTTCAAATAAACAGAAATATGAGCCCTCCGCCCTCCCTCCAAATCCACAGGGCATTATTCTCTAACATGCCTCCATTATGCCAATGTACTCATTCGTAACAATGGGTATCCATAAACGCCAAATGCCTCATTAGTCTTCATAAATGCTGCGTATACCTTTAGGTAGAGCATGGTGGTTTAGGCACGCTTCTCATGAACGTGCTGGAGAAAGTTTCGCTGCATCCTAAAGGATGAGTAGTCTCCTCGGAAAATCACATCAAGGATGCCACCACATTTGGCATCTTTTGCAACCTCTTTCATACGCGCTTGGAGAGCGAGATAGGCATCGTAGAAACGAATCCGAACGCCAGGCATATTTGATGAGGAGCCAGCAATGTCGTTGGCCGGATTGTTAGGATCAATGATGGAGAGACGGGTCGTGTTTTTGTAAGCAAAACTGGTGACCTTGGACTAGAGATGGGGGGTATTGCGTTAGCAAAAGGAAAGAAAGGGGGGAAAGAAAAGAAATTATCGCCATGTACCTTGGGAATATATCCAATAGGAGTAGTAAGAGAAATGGCATTCCTCTCATAGTTGAACTGGCGCCCGTATAGTTCGAAGAATTCGAGAAGCATCTCTCCAAGATGGTGCTCCGGGATGAGGTTGCGGCTCTGGACTTGGGGCATGAGCTGCAGCATGCTGACAACTAAGCAAATGATGGTGAAGCCTCCCAAGCCTCCGTTAACAGGCTCATTCAAGCCCCGCATGAGAAGAAAGTGCTTGATCACTGTAACGAGGATAGGCATTGCCGGATACTCCTTCTTCCAGCGCGCAAAGGTTTCAATCGCCGTAACTCCGCCCAGGTTTTCAAAGGATACGTCGACTCTCAGTCCGGTGGCCTTGTCAACAAATTTGACGAGCGGGATTCGAGCGTGGGCAATAACCTCGATCGAGTCGAACTCGGCAACTCGCTGGGCCACAAGAAACTTGCGAAACTTGTACAGCCAGCTTCTAGCACTGAGGTACGTAGCGGGGCCGCCTCTCATGAAGCTAGCAGAGCATACAACCATGTCCATGTCAGCAGTTGGAAGGTATAGGCCAGACTTGAAAGAGCCGAACGGGAAAAGCTGAGCGCTGGCAAAGCTTCGGTCGTCCCTCTTCATGGCCTTTCGCAAGTTGTCTACCAGACTGTCGCGAATTGCCTGCTCAAAGTCACGAGGCTTGACAAAGTGGTAGAAATCCATGATTTCTTTGTGCAGTCTGATGCGGCATGGTTAATATGACGGGATAGATCCACCATTGCCCACGCAAGGTGAGCAAACAAGATAAACAAGACGGAGAGGCTTACCGAAAAGGCATATCTGTAGTGGCAGAATGGTCGACAGTCGCCCATGGACAAGGCTCTTCATGTGATTTCGGTGCCCAGTTTGGCACTAAGTCTCCCTTAGAAGGCTTCATGTTTGCTTTCTTGAGCTGGCCGTAATCTGGTGGTTGGATGATCTCGTCGTCTGCAGTACGCTTACGAGAGCCAAGAGGACCTGGGGTGTTGTGGGTAACAACTGGTTTGCTTGGGAGAGAATTTATACCCATAGGAGGCGGTGGAAGCTTGCTGGGTAGAATACCGGAAAGTTCCTTGCGCGGCGGTGGTGGCTGGGAGTTAACAACCTTATCGTCGCCTGACTCTTCACTCTCCTCGTCGCTAGGTTCAAACGAAAGGAAATCTTCAGCCTCAGCAGCGGCAGCGGTCTTGATTGTAATCTCCTCCACCCTTGCCTTGCGGATTAGCTTTACAACGTCCCGCTTCTTTCGAGTGGTCTCGTCTGGGCAAGGAAGCGCTGTGTACGGATCTGGATTGGACCACTTGGGGGTTGCTTCAGCAGACTCATCGGCCAAAGCCGTGCGCGCTCTTTTTCTTGAGGGTTCTTCTGTATCAGACTGCGACGATCGTGAAGAGATGTCCATATCAAGCTCGTCATCGTCCGAAAGCTCGTCTAGATCGCGATACTTTGCGCCTTCGCTGTTGTGTACACTCTCCTCAGGGAGGTCAGTGTTGATGCCAGAGATCAAGGCGCGCTCAGAATGATGAGGCGGCGGCTGCCAGCGAGGTCTGCCTAATCTCTGTGCCGGGCCGCCTCTTCTTCCGTCTCTCCGCGGCTGGCGTCGATGTGACGGCTGGCCAGCTGGCGCGTAGTCAGAGATGCCAGCTGGTTTCTCGACGCGAAACGTAAAATCTCCCTGAGGGACGGCCGGCCGGTATGAATCGCCGCCTCCACGGTCATCGCCATATGGGCGAGAGCGAGGCTCTTGCCTCCGGTCACCGGGGCGCCAGTTATCAGAGTCATGATAGGGTCTGTCGCGCGGCTGAGAGAATCGTGGTGGTGAGCGTCGGAAGGAATGGCGATTTCGGTCGTCTCCATAGCCATTTCTCGGACGGTCGTCGTTACGCCGCTGCGGTTTATTGCGCACCATGTTGGGCCCCAGTTTCAAGCAAGTTTACGATGGAAGCAGCCGGCGCAAAGCAGAATCACGCGATGCGAATACACGGCGTTTATGATACCCAAGAGGGTTGGGAGAAAAAGTATGCGTGATACGACAAATTGTGGTTGCTCGTTATCAGCTTATCAGCATGGCTGACTCAGCAAAAAGTGCTGTAATCTAGGTACTTATTCGCGATGATGAGAGGCAAAGGCACCTATCTGGGCGTTTTACGGGCATATTGCGGAGGGTTGAATAAAAAATTGTCAAATTCTGTTTCTATGTTGCAAGAATCCATCTACATGAAAATTTCTGACAAATTGTGGTTCTGAAAGGTCAAAATTTTAACCTCTCTAATGGTCCCGCAGTAAGTAGGTACCTACAGTTCTGAGTCTATACCCCAGCATGAAACCTTCAAGGCCAAATCTATGACTATTACCAGTTCGCAATACATTAGATTTATGCTTTCGGGCAGTTAAATAACATGATACAGTAAACAGAAAAGAGAGTGTGTTTGTAATTATTGAGCAGTGCCATGCAAACGAGCGAGAATCGCCACCCAGTCTTGCCTCTTTGCCCACTCCTCCCAGGTTGTCATGGGACAGTCAATGCCGGCCTATAACACATCGTCAATGATAACAGCTTAATTTCACTAAATGGAACATACACATACCTTTCTAATGTCCTCTGCTTGCAAAACATCCATGCCACCATCATAGCCTGGTTGTGAGCTGTACAAGAACATGTCGGTAATCTCGCCTCCAAGCTGCGGCTCTCCAGTTGCCACAATCATCTCCTCGGGAGAAATCTGTCTGTAGGTAGCTGGAACGCCAGAAACTTCGCTCCAGGTTTTGATAAACTCGGGCCAAGTGCAGTTTGTTCCTGCGGCCATGTAATCCTTTCCAGGAGGCATCTGCCAGACAGCATAGGTGAAAGGCCCCATGTCGTCAACGGGAGCGAAATGAGGAATTATCTTTGTAGAATCCGTGGCAAAAGCCATCTCGAGTTGCCCATTAGGAAGCTTGAAGCCAGGTTAGAACACAGGATTTACCACAATGCTTGGTCACACGTGTCGAGTAATGAAAGAAACCAGACGTAGTTTGTGCAACTCACTTTACCAAAATAAGATTGCGGCAGGATGTTGAAGCTTGTGTAGAAAAAGCCCGTCTGGATGCACGACATCTTGGCTGCAAGCTCGGGATAGTGCTCTTTGACATAGGCCGGGAAGATGTCGGCCTTGGAGTCAAAATGATACAACTCCTTGAACTTGCCGCCGCTGCACTTGCCCGCGTGGCTCAATGTGGAAACGAGAAAGCCATTCGCATCCAGCGAACCGGCAACCTTTGCAGCGGCGTCGACAATGTTCTTGCCATGGCGATACTCTGTGTCGTAGGCAAATCGACGATACGAAATGCCCTGGGCCTCGGCAGCCTTGCGGCATTGCGGGTGGAAGAAGGGCTCCCAGTAGTCGGTGACGCTGAAGATGACATTTGCTCCGGCAAAGGCCTTGTCGAGGCTGCTTGGGTCGTCGAGATTTGCCTCGACCAGCTCCGCACCTTGTGATGCGAGTTCTTGTGCTGCGGGAGAGGCAGGATTGCGAGTGAGACCACGGACCCGAAACCCAGCGGCGAGAAACCGGCGAGCCACGGAGCCGCCTTGGTTGCCAGTGGCACCAACGACGCAAATGAGTTTTCTCCCTTCAGAGCCCATTGTGGCTTTTGACTGATGATGAGCGTGAATCGACGGGGAAGCGATGTCGTATTGGACAAACAATTAGTAGCTGCGAAAAATGGCTCCGGCTGGAGACTTGAGAAGCGCTCAATCTGGAAACTCGGTGTCTCCACTACGGGCGAGACGAGAGAAATGAATGAGACAAGACGAGATGGAAATCAACTCGCATTACAGAAAGACTCAGAAGGCTGATTTGATTAATCTAAGTCGACAGCCCCTCACCAGCTCCCCCAGCTCCTAAGCCCCCTTAACGGCCCAGCATCATACAAGAGTCAAGGTATTCAAACACTAAAATTGTATAAGGTAAGGCATTACTTGTACGGGCACCATCTGCGGTGTCGAAAAAGGAACTACGACACTAGCTGATGGTGCTGCCGGAAACTTACTCCTACTCCAACTAATAGTCTCCGTCAACGGGACAAAAGAGGAACCAGAGCATTCCTTGGAGATTGGAAACCTCGGTGGCAGAACATCTACTCACGCTTTATCCAACCGACTACAAACATGAGCCTAATTGAAGCCTCGAGGACCACAGTTACCAGCTAGTCGGATCCAAGTGCGCTGGTCTTTTAATCCGTGCTATTTGCGTACAGAAAAGTCCCCAATTTCGCATGGTCCCGTCCCAGTACCATGGACCAGCTCTCGCAAGCGACGGCTAAAACCACGTGTAAATGGCCCAGCAGGGTCAGGGGTTGAGCCATCGTGTGGAGACTTGCGAGATGAAATGCGCAGCTTCGTCAGCCTATCACGGTCCTCAATCAGGCTTCTGGCAACCCACTTACATATTCGTCGGCGAACCGCAGCACCGACCTAGCCGGCTTGGTTTCAGCAAAAGGCGTGGCGTGAGCGCGGGATGCGACGGCGAGGCCAAGGAAAAAAAAGACGAGCGGGTTCGCAAAAGGCCTCGGTTCAACGGAGTCGAGAGGACACAGTCACTCATACTTTGTATGTACCTGCTCGGTTTGGTGTTGATGAATGCTGCGTTTACGAGTACATGCATCATGTTCGCAGACCAGAACCGGCGCCATCATTACTTGCAGATAGATGCAAGTGCTTACGCGTGTAATGGCGGGAAAGATTGCCGTGCTTCCAAGCAGATGCGCCGGGCTTAGATACATGTAAGGTAGTAACGGCTGAATCACTCAAGAAAGAGAAAAAGTGACGGCCGACGACGCCACACCAAAATGACCAGGCATAGAGAGACACCATGCGAGCTTATATCAAAGACAAGCCCGTAATATTACACAGGATGTCATGCATAGACCTCCATTGGCACACAAAACCTCATACAATGCAGCAACCAAACACCTCATGACCAACATCAAAGCAGTAGACGGCCAGTTCAGTACGAGTACTCGTAGGAACATGCTAGCTCGTATACGTATTAGTCCTCCCGAGGCCGAAATGGCCCGGAGCTGTAAGCTTCGCATCCCGCAAGCCGCTCCCCGCCCCAAACTCGACTCTGTTCTTACAGGATCAAGATTGCCGCTTCCTTGGCCGCTAGGGGAAGAAGAAGAAAGGACTGAAAAGGGGAGCAACTCGTTCGCCCGCTAATTTAGCAGTTGATCTCGAACCCGCGAGCGCCGGGAGCCCCTGGTGTATCGATCCCTGCGTACGTGGCACGACCAGGCGAGAGAGAGAAAAAAAAAAGACACCAGTCACATCTCTGCGACACAACCTTGAACCATGGCGTCTCCCATTGACAAAACAAAGTCCCCTTCCACTTCTCCCAAGAGCAAGGGAAAATCACCATCCCTCTCGCCGCGGCATTCTCCGTCTCAGTCTGCCGGGGTTGTGACCCCCTTGGCCGGCCTCGTGGCTGGCGACGCCGACAATCCTGTTCCAGTCCAAGTCGATGTGAGTGCAGCCATCATTGATCTCCGTCACGTGTGTCGACCTACATGCGTAATGCAATGCAACGCGTTGAGCCTCTTTGTCGTGGACAAGGGGGAGATAAGAAGAAACGAGGGGATACATGAGAAGAAGATCCAGGGGAGACGAGAAACGACAATCGTCACACAACCGCTTACATGAATCTTGGACCAGACCGATGCATATCCCGATGACCCGGCAGACGTCGACTCGACCTATGGCTCCGATCAAGACTCGGCCTACACCGGCTCCATCACATCGTCCATCTACAACTACCAGTATGAAAACGGCCGTCGCTATCACGCTTACAGAGAGGGCCAGTACGTCCTGCCCAACGACCAGCAAGAACAGGAGCGGCTCGATCTCCAGCATCACATATGGCGCCTCCTAATCGGCGGCCGCCTCTTCACAGCGCCTCTGCCGTCGCCCGACAGCGAAGACGAGCTGCGCATCCTCGACTTGGGCACGGGTACCGGCATCTGGGCGATTGACATAGCCGACGAGTTCCCCAACTCGTCCGTCTTTGGCGTCGACCTGTCGCCGATCCAGCCTGAATGGGTGCCCAACAACTGCCGCTTCCACGTCGACGACTACGAGGATCAGTGGACGTACCACGAGGACGAAAGGTTCGACTACATACATGGTCGGGCCCTCAGCGGCACGTCAGCTGACTGGCCGCGGTTTTATCAGCAAGTGATGCAGAACCTCAAGCCCGGCGGCTGGCTGGAGATGCAGGAGTACGATGCGTGGATCTTCAGTGATGACGATAGCTGTGACCGCGCGCCATGGACGATGGAATGGGTCGACAAGCTGGACGCTGCGAGCAAGATGTACGGCAAGCAGATTAACGTGGCCCAGTATCAGAAGCAGTGGATCCTCGACGCGGGTTTCGAGGATGTTGAGGAGAAGATATACAGGGTACGTTGAAGCATTGATGGCATTGGCGTTCTACATGTCGAACCGAGATGGGTCGATGTAACAACAAGCAACATGAGCAAGCAACGCTAACCATTAGTTTATAAAACAACAGATACCGATCGGACCATGGGCCAAGGATCCTACACTAAAGGAGCTGGGCAAGTTTGAGCTCACGCACATGCAAATGTCTGTCGACTCGCACACGCCAGCCCTTTTCACGCGCGTATTGAACTACTCGAAAGACCAGGCAGATGTGCTGATGGAGGGTGTCAAGCGAGAGTTTCGAAGCCGAGACCTCCGGTTGATTACTAGCTATCGGTTTATCGTGGGGAGGAAACCTCTCGACTCATAGGGGAGGGGGGGTGTAGATGAGGCGAAGGAGGATGGGCTGATAGAGCTGGCTTTCGGGCTGTATCGAGAATGCATGTGTGATGGGACATTGAGACGGTGAGAGGGGATTTGAGATTTTTTGCATTGATTTGTTTTGTTTGCTTCTTAAAGCGTATATTAATTTGGAATTTGAATACAGCTATTTTTGCCATATGATGAAGCTGATCAGCGTGTCACCACGCCTGTGTCCTACTAGGTATCAGAGTGAAGGGAATTGAATCACCATTCATATGGACATGTACACAGCCTCACCTTGAATGTACTTGTATCTCCTACCACCAAGCTCAAGTACCAGATACATACCCCAGAGCCGGGGCTCATCCAAGCATATTCTCGTAGATGTCAATACGGATGTATCCGTAGATTCTTTGTCATTATTGGTGAGACAGAGGCCGTCAAGGGGCGGGTCACCTGCAGCTTTTGCATTAGCTGTCAGCGCGCAAGGCAGCCTTGAAGACAAATGCTTGTTTGCTTACACTGTGGTGGTTGGGCTCAGTCGGGTTTGTCTCGGATTACATCAATGCGAGCTGCCTGTAGTTTAAGGCCGGGATGCTGGGCTTTTGGAGCAATTTTCCGCGGACATACAGCCCAGTACTCCGTATATGGCCAGTCATTCACATTGATAGCTGTACTATGAGAGTGACAAACTCATACTCCAAAATAGATGAATAAATCGACAACTCCAAAAAGCAAGGCGAGCACAGCCCCATGTGGCGTCCGCAAGGCTGTGCCAGCTGAGAACGAGCTTGATCAAGTGAAGCGTCCATAGGTGCATAAGAACTACTGCTGCCAGGCCATTTTGCAACTAGTTGCCAAGTCATCACATCTCCATAGCTCACCGACCATTGCGCCTCGTAGGGCTCATGCGGCTGATGGGATTTTCACACCCGTCAGGTTTAGTGCTCTTTTTCTTTTTCCTTCTGGTCGAGCTTCCATCTTGACTCGCTCACACACAACGCACACGCCCGCCGAACCAAACTAAACGCAGGGGAGCTATAAATAAAAATCCAAAAAATCTCTTTGTCGCCTCTCGAATCAGCATCGAGGAATCAGGCACGACACAATGAGGTCGACCGGGGGCGAGCAGCGCGCGAGCGAGGTCAACAGCGCCATGCTGAGCGTCCCGGGATACGCAGACGACACGATGCTCTTCATGCTGCGCTGGGGGAGCACGGCCCAGGTATGATGACCTCATTTCATTGCTTCACTGGAATTCTCTTTTCTTTGCTTTGCTGTTTATGTTTATCCTTTATCCTTTATCCTTTATCCTTTCACCATAAACATAAACCACAAAAAAACGCCCATCTCCATAATCTTACACGGCTGCTGCTCCACCAAAAAGTAAGACACCTGACGCATTTGGGCTCGTTGGCCGCTTTCGGGCTGGATTGGATGGTGATGACTGATGTGATGATCATCCCACACCCGCCGCGCCGCAGGAAGACAAACGCGCTTGGTTACATGATCAACCCTTTTTTTGTCATTTTCACGTCTATTTTCGCTTTTCAACATGTGATGGAGGGCACGACCTGTCGTCGAATTACGAGGTTTTGTTGCACGTTGATTGGCCTGCTCTATATGAGTCAACCGATCATTGCCTCCCGGGTATCAAGCGATGCCCTGTTCCCTCATGCACCTTTGCATTTTATTTTATTTTATTTTTTGTCTGCAGAGTACATACCTACTCGTACATGTACATACATACCTACAGTAGAGCAAACAGGCTGATGTGGTGTTGAATCGCTTCGGCATTCGCCCGGCATTCAGGCGACGCTACGCAAAGTCGACTATGACGAGTTCCAGGTCCGCGTGTCGGCCATGAACACGCATTGGTTTGAGAGCCAGAGAAAGAGCCAGTGCACAGAGACAAGCTCCGTCAGCGTCGGCACCCGCGGCACCGACCAAGGCGACGGAGAACCAGAAGCAGCGGCGGCGGCAGCAGCAGCAGCTGGAGAGGCAGAAGCGGCTAGCTGTGATGATGACAGAGAGGGCGGCGGCCATACAGACGACGATGCCGTGGATCCGCACCAGGCCGGCGACGAGGCCACTGACAAGGCCGCTGAGCTCAGGGCCCGGACGCTGGAGCTGATTCAGGATTTCCCTCACCTGGTGCGCGAATTTGACAAGTTTGTCGACTGTACAAGGATCATGGCGGCCAAGTATGGAAAGGCACCAGTATAAGATATCATATTGGATACGAGTAAGCGATAAAAAGAAGCACACGACGAGAGGAACGGTACCTACTCGTATGTACTAACGGGGAATACGTGGTAACGTTGGAATCAGCTTATCAAGTGGTGCCAAATTGCTTCATTAAAAAACAAGCGTTCTAGACGCCTAATAAGGACAAGGATCATATCATCTCACACCCCCCCAGTCGGTAGTCATAGTGATCACGTCTTCTTTTTTTTTTCTGCCAGCCAGCACTTATCGCACACTAGATGGAATACGGTCACAAAATTCACTTGGGAAACAGGTTTTTTTTCTAGGAATTGCCTTTTGCATTAATTACTATTATCTGTTTTCGGCGGATCCAAAGAAAATTTCCAACTCTCGCACAAACCGACGAGTTTCCTTCCCATCTCTCCCCCTCCCCTCCTAAAATCGACCAAAACAGTCCAGTCAGAAGAATGAATTTCGTATCACATCTGCCGGCGCATCACACAATAACAAACAAAAAGCACACAATTATTTCCAATTCCAGAAATTGTAGAAACGCCATCTTTCCCGGGGCAGACACCTCTAGATGGTGTCGCACTTTATGCAAAAGTCGAGAAGTAGCAAAAAGATGAAAATGAAAAAAGTTCTTTTGCGGAAAGAGAAATTAAAAGAGAAGAGAAGCACAAAAAAAGGTCGCCGCGCCAAAGATCCCCTTTCCCCCGAGCCAGCCGTGGAATTTGTGTGTTCGTTGACGGAGGACCCGGTTAGTGTTGCGGCCCCGGACACGCCGGCTCCGGGAAAAGAGGATCAAGGCTGGGAATTTCTGACTTTCACATCCCGAGTGATACCATGTCGATGTACAGTAGCGCTTCCAAGATGTGACCTTCTATGTCGACGAACTAAATTGTTCTTCCTCTTTTTTGGTTCCCCATCCCTCCGATTCCTTGTTCCTCCCGGTTCCTGAAAAGCTCACAACACACGCCTTAGATCCTCAAGGCAGTGGAAAGCCAAGCAAGGGGCCCGAGTCGCTTAGAGGTTGGCAGCGAGGACGGCAGCGGCACCGACACCGAGGAGGATGTTCTGAGACAGAGAGTTGGCTCCGGAGGTAGGAGTGGTGGTGGGCTTGCCAGTGTGGGTGACGCTGGTGCCGTTGGTGGGAGAGGCATGGCCGCCGGTCTGAGCCATGGCGGTGGCAGCGAAGATGGCGATGACAGCAGCAGCACGCATTTTGAAGGTGTGTGTGGTGGTTTGGGGTTTTTGGTTTGGTGTTTGTGTAAAAGAGGTTGGAGGTTGAGTTTAACGAATGGAATTGTTCGGCTGTAGGTTGATGGAAGAGAAGGAGAAAAGCAAGAAGCTGACAACGAAAGTCTGGCTCGCTTTATATCTCGGTCTGGATGGGATGATAAAGCATGGCCATGGCAAGGCCCCAAAGAAAAAAAAAGGAGCCCACCCACCACACCTCATGCAAACGCGCACGCCCCTGTCTATCCCACCCCTGAGAGGCGCCCAGGGTCAGGGATTACAGTAGTGCAATAGTGGTCTAGTAGATTCCACCTTGCGACATGCCAATGACTTGTTCCCAGCAGATCACCGCGTTAGTCGTGCTGCGCTGCTGCGTTGCGGTGCTGGAGGCTGGTTATCGCGTCATGTTCGCCACTTTGCCTGTTGCGGCCTCGACGACTGATTCCGTGGTGTGCACTATCAGCAGCTGCTGTGCCCTCCCAGCGGTCTTTTTGAAGCACCTGTCCGTCGTAGCGGCCACTCGAGTGCGCCTTTGCCTTGTTCCGGGGGGGCTGTGGATGTATCTCTTGAGCCGCTAGAGCTGCGAATGCGTGAACATAGCCCCCCTGTCAGGATGCCGGATATAATGATATATATAGAACAAGGGCAGATTACAGTACTACTGTGCGGTGCCTGTACACTAAGACGGCGCTGGACTGTGCTGCTGTACAGTACTACCTGGTATACTAAACATTGAATACCAGTGTCCCAGCCCTTTGTCCCATTGACAAGCTCCCTCGTCGGAGCCGGAGTGCCGCGCCCAAGTACCCGTTACCCGTGCGGTGGACGGAACGGTACTTTGCCTAGCTGTAGACTTACGCAAGCTGCCCAATTGCCTCCAGGGGGGGAGCGGCGGCCGGAAGCTCCGACTACTGTCCTCTGCCGCAGGGCCTGGTTTATGCTTTGTGATGAATTCTTTGCTGAGCCGCCCGGTTGAATATCCTTTGCGACGCCATTCCAATGCTACTAAACAGAAGAGGGTGTTTAGCCGCCTCTTTTGATCTATGTACTAGCTGGAAGGTCACTGACTGAATTGGGGGGAGGGGGGGCGCTTTTTTTTCTTGGTTTCTTGGAATTTTTTTTATTTTTTTTTCTGTTGATTTTGTGCAGGCTGCATACGAGATTTCCCTACTGCACTCCACGCGGCGGGCGGAGATTTCGATGCGATACGATGCGATGTGATGCCCAGGCACGACAAAAGAGGCATATTTTAGAGTTGTGCTGAATCATAACAGACACGAGGACTTGGACGAATGAATGAATCATGCTGCATGTACTGTCATCACAGTCAAAAAATACGACGAAAAGTACCGGTACCACAAGTGTGACCAAATCCGTCTGGATGCTGGTGCTGGTGCTGTGCTGTGCTGCGTGCGGCTGAGGCGCTCGATGGGGGTGTGTCGTGAGGCGTTTGCTTTGTGCGATAGCAGCTCGGTAATAGTACATGTACCGCGCCGGAATTGTTCAAGTTACATCGCCTGCCACACCACACCAAAAGATAGCCTTATCTTTTGAACCTCGTCGTGGTTGGTGTGCTATCTCTGGTCACTGTACAATTACTTCATTTCCTATCTGTTCCCTCTTGGCTTATCCGTTGTTAGCGCCACAGCTTCGCCGGGTTGGGCAAAGCCGCATATCGCCCATCACCAACCTGCAGCCCCATCCCCAGAAGCGAACAGGCAAACAGGAAAAAACACACGACGAGAACAGCGACAGAGAGGGCTTTTCTCCCTTGTTCCGCACCGGAGGCGGGCAAGCCACTGCCTCAAGCCACTGGCTCGTCGGATCAGCAAACAGCAAACCAGAGCCCCCCTCCGTCCCACGCTGCTGCTCCACCGCTGCGACATGTCGAGTATATCCGCCCTTTTTGGCCCTTTTATCCCGGGGCCGGGCTGCCTTCGTTTGGGGGTGGGAGGGCATACGCGTCATCAAGGGAGGGCCACTCTGCTTCCGGCCAAAGGCGTCTAGCTATGGAAATTTCCAAGGTATTTTTTTGCTTTCATCCTTTGGCACGTTGTACTTGTGGGAAAGAAAAAAAAAAACTGGGAAAAAGCGGGCGGCCGAGTGGGCTCTGGGGGGAGGACCCAGCCTATGCCTTGGATGAGGATGAAGCTGCTCCAACTTGGTCACCGTGCCATCCGATATGCTCGTGGCTGGTGCATTGATAACGATTGGGCCCTGGCAATGGCGTGACTGGGGGGAGAGAGATTTGCCCAATGCTCGATGCTTGTTTCTCTTGCCTGTATGGACCTGTATGGATACTGTGCATGGACATGGACTGGTGCTCGTAGGTATCACAGCGCATGTGCTCTCGCTAAGCCTCAATTGCAACTCTGTGGTGCAGCATTGTAACATGTCGTTCGTATTAAGACAGTGTCTAATTAATGTGATATTTTTATCTGTGTATTCCTTTGTTCCCTCTCCCCTCCATTGTCTGGTGTCTCGCCCCCATTTCGCAGTCTCTCCTTGTTCCCTGCTTGTCCCCGGTATACCGTTTTTTTTTTTTGCTATTTGCTGCTAGTGCCCGTTTTTTTTTTTACCCGCTGCCCAGTGCTTTGAAACAACGCAGGTTTCCCCTTTCAAGGCTTTTGTTCTCTGGCAGGGATACGGGTAAAGGAGAAGACGCAAGATTAGCAGTGGAGAAGTGCTCCGTTCGGTGGATCTTCTCAAACCGCCGTGCGTCTGCCGATCTGGGATATAGTAATGGCTCGCAAAGCTTGGCCTCTGTCGCCTTTGAGAGAACCCCTGGCTTTCCTCACATGCCCCATGTCTTTGCTCAGAGAACCACTGTGCTTGTGTTGTCTTGGCAAGGCTTCGCGTGCTGCTCCTGGACTGGGTCTTGATATGGGTGGGGAGAGCTTGATGCAGCTACCGAACTGGTACAGGCACTATACAGTACATGGAAGTATGACAGAGGTAGTAGCATCCATCCGTATTACCTGCACTGATGAGAGGAGTCGGAATACAGTAAGCAGAGGTACCGTGGTGTAATGTTGCTCTCCCGTGTATCTTTTCTTTTTTTTTTGGTCTGCTAATGTCCGGCACATATCTTCCAACTGCCGTTTTCGTGAATAGCACTACACCGTACACAGACCGTTCTCGTAGCTGTGCCAAACACGCCTAGTAGAGATTGGGATAGGTAGAGAACCATGGAATAATACGCCGAATGCCATGTATGTACTTGCCAGCCCGCGCTCGGCAATAAGTGAAACGCTTCCGGCCGGCCTCAACGGAAAGGGGAGGGGTGTGTGAATGGGAAGATCGCGATGTATCGGAAACATCTTTCTTTCTTTTTTTATTCGCATTACGCATTGATGAGCTAGCAAGTGTCAAAAGAAGACGGCCAGAGTGAAATTTGAATGTTTCAATGGTCTTTGGGCAATTCTCCGAGCGATCACCGCGCCACAATATGCAAGGTACGGACGAGCTATGAGGGAGATTGAAGTCATTTGATGCCCTTCTAGTCCAATGTATACCGTACGAGTATGTAAGAGTACAGTATTTCGCCACCGCGAACGTCTGCCCCAAACATGATCTACAAAAAGGAGAGGACGGAGGCGAGAAACACCGGGTCCGCCGTGTCAGAGGAATAAATAGAAACAGGAAAATAACGCGATATGTTACTTGCTTTTTTAAACGGGTGCCTGAAATGAAGGTTACTCGGAGCAGAGCCAATGATCTCGTGCAGACGGATAGCAAATGTATGTACTCGTAAGTGCAGGTGAGAATTGATTATTCCGTTTCGTTTGCTGGCCCAAGTGCTACCACTGCGGCAAGCCGGGAATATTCCCACAAAAGTTTCAATAACATGTCAACGGGTACCTTCTGTAACAAGGAGGTCCGTGTCCAGTAATATTTTCCTTGCTTGTGGCTACGAGGTACTTCTGGTGGCTCATTCTACTATACGACTATTTCATTCGTTTTATTTGATTTAATCTTCCTTCTGTATATCCCGCACTGCGCCAAGTGCTTCGTATATACATAGTATTGACGTTAGAGCGGTCCCAAGTATCAGGTCCAGTCCATAAAGGCCCACGTCCATCCAGTTCCCAAGTTTCAGCGCCCTTGGCGACAAGTCAGTGGACACAAGCCGCTAAGCCGTTTGCCGTGACCGCGGGCTCCAGTCGCCGCCACCAAACTGCGGAACCAGAACTGACTGCAGTGCTTAGGTCAGTCAATCCAAGGTTTGGCCTACTGCACTGTCGCGACGCACGGCCAGCGCCAAGCAATAGCGCTGCAGGGCCGCCATTTGCCGTTCTGGCCGCCCTGAAAGTTCAAAGTCAATCCACGGCGCGGGCCAATCGCTGCGCTGTCAAAAAAGTATCAGCCCCTGGACCGCTGCAGGTACCACAAGCCCAGCCCAGCCCAGCCCAAATCCTTCCCATGCTCAATCTCCATCTCTTTGCCATGGATCAATCAAAATGCTTCTTTTTTCTTCCGTGGCAGCCGGAGCCACCGCATTGCTCGCAGAACCCAGGCCCCAATCTCGGCTGCTTCTTCTGGGCTCCTCTTGGCCGTTTGCTAAAAGTACATAGTACTTGGCCAGGCACGCGCAATTTGCTGCTGGCGTCAGGTACCACGGGTTCTAGGCTCTAGCCCGCATCTCGCTCTCCTCCCCCCTTGCTCGCGAGTCGGGGACTTCGGCCGTAATCCAGCGTCTTTTTTGTTCCAATGTTGTTATTTTTCTCTCTCGCTCTCTCCATCGCCCGCAAAATGCCCCGTCCCCCATGTCGGCTGGAGCTTCTGGAATCTGGAACACGCTCGTCTCGCTTCAATAGACTCCACCGCTTGCTTCTTCCTTTGTCCAAGCTTTGGGCAGCGGTGTGAGTGCTGGGGCCAATTTCCTTTTCTCGGTCCCTCTTCCAGACGTCCATCCAGAAAACGAACTCCGTTGTGTGTACTCCGTAGGTAGGCGAAGGAATCCAATACTTTCAACTCCGCCGAAATGTCCTTGAGGAGACCGTTTACCGCCATCTTTGCGTCTTTACTTCCACAGCAAAAGCCCCCCACGACACTTGAGCTCCCTCCTCCCCTGAGC